TGGGGTTGTGTGGGGTTGTGTGGGGTTGTGTGGGGTGATATGGGGGTCATGGGAATGTGATTCCCCTTTGTTCTCTGTCGCCCTTTTCCTTTACGAGTCCGGGGACGACTACTATTTTGTTTGCATGCATTCAGCATGACGCAGTGATGCAGGATAAGGGGGGGAAAGTCACGGTTTTGTGCTTTGTGTTCTCAGCATTGCACACCACCACATCACGTCATGCACTGGGGGTTTTGGCTGCTGATGCTCCAGTTGCGGGTGCCTGTCTGGAGGAGAAGCAGACCCATTTCCCCAGGGGGCTTTGTTGTCAGCAAGGACACACAGCTCCTGGCCAAGTCCCCTGATGTCCCCCCTGTCTTCGCCCGCGCTTCTCCGCCTGCTTTTCTTCCTGGGCTCAACTGGACCGCAGTTCTCAGCTGAGCGCTGTGCTGAGGCCTATCCACCTTTCAGACACGCTCTCTCTCTCTCATTCTATTTTGCTGATACCATAATTAGTGAGTTAGTTTGTTCCACCTCAGATCGTTGCGACTGTTTTCAATCACTTTGGGATCCCGTTTCCCTTTTCTGGACCCTGGATCCCTCCGCCCCGCTGCTCATGGAACCGGGCCGAAGCAGCCCATCAACCGCTGACATGGAGGCATCTCCACTTCAGAGCTGGATAGAGAGCGTGGAGAGAAAGAAAAGGGAAGGGAGGGGAGAGGAGGAGAGGGGAATGGCTTCCAGCAGTCTAGAAGGAAAGATCTCCCCATTCTTGAAGCGCTTGGAATCCACAGGCTCCGAGGCAGGGGGAGTCAGTCCCTCCTACTGGGGAGCATCGTGGGGCTTTGGGTCACATTGGCTGCCCTGGTTGGAGTAGATTCAGCAGGAATACTTCCCAGGCACCGTGGCCCTGAGCCCAAGCCCACTGTCCCCAAGAAGTGCCCCAGCCCGACACCGTGCCCTTGTGCTCTGCTTGTCCAGTCAGCCTCAGAGGGATGTCCCAAAATATGGGCAGGGAGGCCAAAGCTCTGGGTCAGAGCTCTCACAGGGGTTTAATAGGAACCAATATCGATGCGCAGCATAAAAGCAGAGCAATAAAACTTGGAGGAACTGCATGGCTGTTTCTGACGCCCCTGTGAAAAGAGCTCCTGGCGCTCACGGCTCTCCCAGCGGCACCGACCTCTCCTTTGTGCCTACAGCCAACTTCATGGCAGGGACAGAGTCTCTTGTCCCAGAGCTCACATCCCAGAGCTCTGCTGTCGCAGCCTGTGTGTGCAATGGGGTTATGGCAGAGACGTCTCGTCAGCGTCGTCGTAGCCCGTGCTCCCACGGGACAGAGGTGAGGTGTCTCCATCCACTTCGGGGGCCCCGGCACTTCTCCAGGAGCGCAGACTCTCTCCTGCCAGCAGCAAAGACAACTGTTTGCCCCACGGCGTGCTCCTCCTGGGTGGCCCATCACTTTTCTCCTCCGTGGGACATTCAGCCCGTTTTCCCAGTCCCTTTCTCCCCGCGAAACCTCCCAAGGAAAGTTCCTCAACCCATGAGCTGTGGCTCTCACTGCCGCACCAGGGACAGCACCCAGCAAGCTGCAGCACTGCATTTCCCTCTCACCTCTGGCAGCATCCCTGGGTCCCTCTGCCTCCTCCTGTCCCCGAGGCACTGGCCAGTCTCCCTGCCCTGGCACAGGAGGCTCTCCAGGCTCAGAAACCTCCCTGGCATCATCATAGCCCTCCACCGGGGAATCGCCGGGCAGAACAGGGATGTCTGTAAGAGAGAGGAGAGCAGTGATAGCAGTGACAAGATTCTCCTCCTCCCATTTCCCCAGGTAGGGCTGCAGTTTGGTCAGGGAGCATTCAAAACAGGAGACCTGCACCCACCTGAGAAACTGTACCTCATTTTCTTCTCCCTCACTGGGCTGTACTCAATCTCCTCGTACACGGCTTCAGAGAAGGGCTCCCCAGAACTCCTGGAGTCTGGGGACAGAGACGAGACCCTGCTGTGCTTCCCCAGCCTCCTTCTGCTGCTTCTCCCCTCACTCCGCCATGAACTCCCCCTCCACTGGGCTCTGCATTGCTTGTTGCTGGATGTCAGCGCAGCGACACGGCGCATCCTACGCACCGCTGAGTCAGGACCTACCTCTGTGCCGAGCTCTGGCACTTTGCATCTGCCTTGCCAGGAGGGCCAGGAGGAGGCCAACAAGGAGCCCCAGGACGATGCAGATGATGACAGGCACCGAGACTCTCCTGCTGACGGTCGCGTAGCCCAGCATGGGGTCTGCAGGGGCAGCAATGTGGCAGGAGCAGCACCAGGCACGTGTGAGAGTTGGGTCAGTAAGGGGTAGAGGGGCAGGGAGTGCAGATGGGGAACCTCCCAGCCCGTGGGGTACATGATGGCCCTCCCCATATATCCACCAGCCCAGTGCCTCTTCCTGGGCACTTCGTATCCCAGAAAGAAGCCCCTGTTCTGGGTCCTGGGGAGACCCAGCTCCAGTGGGAGGAGGTGTTACCTCTTTGTGGGGGGGATGCTGTCATCCTGGGTGCAGCTGCAGAGAAGAGCTGAGCTGAGAGGTGGGTTGGTGGTGCTGGGCAGACCGCTGGCTGATATGCCCAGCACATCCCGCCCAGATTGTCCCTTCCTCAAGGCCGGGACGCAGCCCAGCACTCTGCTCAGCTCTGGGCTGTGAGCAGAGCCTGAGTAAGCCCAGCTACTCACCCGAGCAGTTCACCGCTGCATCTTCCTTATGCCGGCAGGCGCCGCCACCCGCAGTGCGGGCCCAGCAGTCCTGCAGAGATGGCTCCATGCCCCTGCACTCCACCTGCTCCAGCCAGATGGGTCCTGTCCCCTCCCCAAACGCAGCCTCGGCCAGGGCGGACAGCGCAGGGCCGCAGCCCAGCTGCCTGCACGCCACCTCGGCATCCTGCACGTCCCACGAGTCGTCGCACACGGTTCCCCAGGAGCCGCGGTGCCAAACCTCCACTCTGCCCGAGCACCCGTCCTTGCCTCCCACAGCGCGGATCTTCTCCCTGTCTGCAGAGGCGGTGACCTCCCAGGGCCCCGGCACAACCGGACGAGAAGTGACACAGAGAAGGAGCTCCCACCTGTGCAGCTCGTGGAATTGGGGCACGCGGCTCCCGGCCTCCTTTCCGGCTTTCTCCCTGCAGAAGGAAATGTAGCAGTGGAGCAACCTGCGCAGGGCGGGCCTCTGCTTGTGCCTGGCTGTGCCACCTTGGTCGTGGTGAGGGAAGCGGGATCTGGTGCCCGGGTGGCTCGCTTACCATTGCAGGTGATGCTGGCCTCGTCTCGCACATCGTCATAGGACTGCAGCTGCCAGGGACCGGAGGGACACTGCCAGATGGAGCTGTTGTTCTCCCCACACTGCACGTGGTCCAGCCACGCGGTGCCATTCACCCTGCGGTAGCGGTTGTTGCTTTCCAGGACCCCTCCGTCCCCGCAGCCCAGCTCCTTGCACACCAGTGGCGCCGTGTAGGGAGTCATCGAGTTGGAGCCGACGCTCCCCCACGTCCCGTTGTAGAAAACCTGCAGGCGCCCGGAGCAGCCATCGCTGTTCTCCAGCCTCAGGGCCACGAATTCTGGCAAGAGGAAAGGCCCCAGGGGGAAGTCGCTGGTTGGGGGCCGGGGAGAGGAAACCCCCTGTGCTCCCCACTCAGCATCAGGGTGGCCGCGCTGCCCACTGCCCCCAGCCGCACCGGTGGACGGGGCGCCCCCGGATGGGCTTGGGAAGCGACCTTGGGTGTCCTCAGCCCCCCGGCCTCCCTGTGCCGGGCTCCCAGCACAGACCTGAGCAGACGACTCCTGCGTCCTCCTTGTGCCCGCAGTCGTGCTGTCCCCAGGCCTCAGCAGAGCAGTTCCAGAGAGCAGATTCGTCCCCAGAGCAGTTCACGCCATCCAGCCAGATGTGCCCGGAGCCCTCCCCAAAGCGAGCCGAGCTGGCCGCCTCCACGGCCCATCCGCAGCTCAGCTGGCGGCAAACCACGTTGGCGTCGGCCGTGTCCCAGGCATCGTCGCAGACCGTGCCCCACCGTCCCTGGTAGTAGATCTCCACTCTCCCTGCACATCGCCCGGCCCCGTCCACCAGCCGGACCTGGCGGCTCCCTGCAGCGGGGGGAAGCCCCAGCCATCAGAGGCCGGCTGCCCGCCTGACCCTGCATCGGGAGGATGCGCTGCTCACCCCGGCACACGACCCCCACGTCCTCCATGATGCCCGCGGCCCGGCGTGGGGAGGCGTCACAGAGGCTCAGGCCGGCCTCGTGGCCGGCACACCGCACCCCGCGCAGCCCCACGGGGCCCGTCCCTCGCTCGGCCCTTGGCACAATGTAGGCTGTCTCTGCCTCCTTGCAGCGCAGCTGCCGGCACACCACGCCGGCGTCCTCCATGCCCCACTGATCATCCAGGACTCTGCCCCACGTCCCGCGCTGCAAGATCTCCACGCGCCCGTCGCACCGGCTCCCTCCACCCACCAGCCTTAGAGATGCGTTGTGAGGCGGGCCTGCAGGGAGCAGGAATGCCAGAAATGCATGCTGCAGGATTCCGCCGGGGACAGGTTCAGCCTGGTGATGCCGTGGGATCCGCATGGGACTTTGAGGTGGCCGTGTGGCAACGAGGCGGAATCCCTGCAGCCTTATCCTGACACACACCTGAGCAAATGACGGCAGCGTCGTTCTCGTGGGAGCACGGAGAGGCCCCCAGGGCGGTCACCGGGCACTGATCCGGGCTGCTCTCAGTCCCCTTGCAGTGGAACCAGTCATTCCACACGGGGCCAGTTCCTCTCCCAAAATGCCCTCCTTCGGGAACGGACACCGCGAACCCGCAGGCCAGGTGCCGACAGAGAACATGGGCGTCCATCAGGTCCCAGCGGGAGGCACAAAGGCTGCCCCATGTTCCCTGCACCTCCACTTCCACCCTGCCCACGCACGCCATGCTGCCATTCACCAGCCTGAACCCTGTGAATTGAGGACAGAGGAGGCTGGAGGGGGGAGATCTGCGCTCCGGTTCCCTCAGGAGATGCAGGAGAAGCCAAAGGGACAACACGAAGCCGTTTCCTTCCACACTGCCTTGGGGCTGCGGAACACCACATCACCCTCCTGTCCTCACACCCGGCACAGCCCCGTCCCTGTCCCCGGCACATGGTCGGTGTCCGACCGCCCTCCCTGAGCCCTTACGTGTGCAGGTGACAGCAGCAATGCTTGTCTGGACGCAGGGCTGGACCCGAGGGGTCCCCGTGGGGCAGGAGGAGAGTCTGGATTCGTTCCCCACGCACTGCAGCTCTCTGTCCCAGATGGCACCGGTCCCTTCTCCAAAGGGACTTGCTGTGGGGACGGGCAGGGCTGTGCCACACTGAAGATCTCTGCAGACCACATCAGCAGCTTTGGGACCAAAGTGTGAGTCACAGACAGATTTCCACCCATCCCCATCATGGATCTCCACTCGTCCTGAGCAGCGGCTGTCCCCTCCGACCAGACGGACAAATCCTGCAGTGAGCAAAGGCACCCGTGGGGTCCCGGAGCCCTCTGGCAACTGCACGCCCCTCCTCACCTCCACCTCAACTGGGGACCAAGCAGGGCCCAATGCAATTCCCCAGGGACCAGCAATGGCAGCGCAACTGCCCACATATGATATCTGCTTATTGATCCCCAAATCTGACCTCAGAGGGCAGGAATGGCTCTAGTCCCTCACCTGTACATGTAGCTCCAGCGTCCTCACCGTGACTACAGTCATGTTCACCCCATCCATCGTGTTTGCAGTCAGACAGGGCAGATTCAGTGCCTTGACACTGGACCTCATCCATCCAAATGGGGCCAGATCCTGGCACAACACCTTCGTTCCATTCAGCACTGATTGCTGACCCACAGCCCAGCTGCATGCAAACAACGGCCGCATCATCCTCATCCCAGGAGTCATCACACACAGTCCCCCACTGCTCCTGGTGTTTCACCTCCACTCTCCCATCACAGCGCCCGCTGCCATCCACCAGCCTCACCTCTGCTGCCCCTTCAAACATCAACATGGGATCCGTCAGGAGAGACCAGGCCCCAAACTGGGGGACCCCCAGGCTGGCACAGTCACAAGATTTGGGGTGGAGACTTCCCACTGCCTGTCTCTGCATCTCCAGACTCACTACCATCCCCAGGGCTTTCCACGTTCCCAGGAAGCACCGAGCTGATCCTGAGGATCACCCCAACCCGGAGGATCAGACGCTGCTCGACCAGGGTCCACAGGGATGACCCTAAGGAGTCCAGATGTGCTCTGGGGATTTTTGTGTGCCACCATTACCAGCTGGGCCATCAGCACAGCAAGAGCACTGTGCTGGTGAGCAAGGGGTCACAGAAGGATGCTTCAATGTCTGGAAATAACCAGACAATTATCACAATATAACCAGGGCTGCCATAAACTCAGCAGTCCTGGAAAATTATGATACACTCATCCACCCAGAGAGACACAGAATGAAGCACAGGATCCACACACTTCAGCAACTTCTGCCACAGAATCACAGAATGGCCAGGGTTGGAAGGGACCTCAAGGATCACGAAACTCCAACTTGCCACTGCAGGGCCGCCAACCTCCACATGTCACAGCAGCCCAGGCTGCCCAGGGCCCCATCCAGCCTGGCCCTGAACACCTCCAGGGATGGACGGGGCTCTCTGGGCAGCTGTTCCAGCACCTCACCACACTTTCTGAGCTTAAGAACTCAAACTGCCCTTGTTTCAGGGGTACTTAGAAAGAAATCTCCTTCCCACAGGGATCTCAGTGACGCTTACTGGCCCTAGGCCAGCTCGGACTGCTGGTCAAGGCAGCTGGCACTCACCTCTGCACGGCTGCACCCAGAGGAGGAGCCACAGCACCTGAGGGCATCGGAGTCCTTCTGCGCCCATCCTGAGCCTCCCGTCCTGCTGGCACAGCCCTGCAGGGCCCAACTCCCTGCTGCAGCTCCTGGGGGCTCTGGGGGACTGTGACAACAGGAGAGCAATATATCTCTGCAGCTGATTACGCAGATGCAGAAGAAGCCAATCAAAGCAGCAGTCTCCTTTTTAGACTTTATCAGAAATTGTCTCCCCTCCAGCGCAGCCCAGCCCTCCAATGAACTTCTCCAGAGCTGTTCATGACCATATATGAGGGACGGCTCCGCTGCGGGGTCATGTTGCTGTGACGGGAATCACCGCGGTGGCTGCGGGAGGACGTGGCTCCATCACCACGTCACCACTTGCACTCTGCAGGAGCGCTGAGCATCTCTCGTGCCGGGAACGCCCAACAGACCGAGATGGGAATGTCCAGCTGGCCCCACGCTGCAGGAACCGCAGGGCTGGGACTGCACCAGGGCCGTGTCCGTAAGGGAGGGGAGCAGCCCCTGGGCCTGCCGCAGACCTGCTGCACCAGGAGCCGTAGCTGGGAAAGGTCCTTGGGCGAGTCAGAGCCCCGTCCTGGAAGTGCCGGCTCACCCGTTCTTCCATGGTGGGCCCCGTGCCGGGTCCCAGAAGGAGCTGGAGCTGGGACAGATCCCGCCCTGGCAGCAGACTAGAATCTGCGGGCTGAGTCTAGGGGCTCAGAAGCGTCCCCAGCACTTGGCGTGTCGCCCAGGGGCCGTTATTCCTCACAGAGCATCGGGGGTCGGAGCCCCCCCACTGCCACAGGTGCACAAACCGCAGCCCCGTGTCACAGCGCTCGGGCAGGAAGACGGTGGTTTCCTCCTGGCTCCGTGCCCAGGCCGTCACTGCGGTGTCCCCGAGCCACCTTCACCACGGCTGCACCAGGCAGGGCTGCGGGGGCTGCTCCTTCAGCCTCACAGGCACGGCGCAGGGTCCTGACCCCTGTGACATCCCACTGACCGCAACGGCCGCGCTGCGCTGAGACACGCGGCCGCGGGCTGACGGCGGTCATGTGGCACAGCTGATGCTGAGAGCTCGTGGGGCACAGGGATGGTATGGAAAACAAAGCGCTGCTGCTCTGGGCTGCGTGGGGAAGAGGATATCCATCCCAGCCAGCCCCAGCAGGCATTAATCGCTGGTAAGGACGATGTCCGCTGCGTGACGGACGCTCTTGGTGCGTGTCCTGCAGCAGTGACCAAAGGAGACGGAGCTGGCTTTGTGTTTATGAATTCAGATCTACGTTCCATCGTGTTTACTTACTGGTTTTCCTTATCGTGCCACTTCTGAAGGCTTCAGTCACACAGCTCGATGCCGACCTGTGCGACCTGCTGTAGGGAAATGCTTTGGCAGGGGGTTGGACTCAATGAGCTCTGCAGCTCCCTTCCAACCCCTACAATTCTGTGATGCTGTGATTCTGCCCGTAGCAGGAGGGTGTCCTTTCCCCTGCCTTCAAAGCCTCTTGATGCTTCCCACCCCAATTCCCCAGGACATTCCCCTGCTGGAGTTGTGCTCCTTTTACTGTCCATGGCAGCCTGTCTTCTCTGCCCAGTGCCTCGAAGAAGGAAGAAGTGGGAGGGAAGGTGGTCACAGTGATGCCAGAGATCACTCTGGGACTCCTGGATTGTCACGGAGTTGAGCAGATCCATCCATGTCCATGACAGGGGCGACAGGCCTCCGCCCTTCCCTCCCCCCCCACCCCAGTCCCACAAAAATGGGAAGGAAGGAAGGGAGGAAAAGAGCAGCGGCAACAATCTGTGGAGGAAAACTTATTTTACTATAATATCGGAATACAAGGTAACACAATAGATACAATTTAATTGCAATTGAGATTAATAAATCAGACAAGATGAGAGAGAGAGAGTTCCCAGGACCGAGTCAAACCTGAAAAGCTTGGAACGGCCAGGAAAGCACCTCCAGCACCCACTGCAAGGCAGCAAGAGAGCGCCCCCACCTGGAAGGGCCAGATCCCGTGAGTGCTGTAATGTACAGGGATGGGAACCTGGGATTGGGCAGTGACACTTTAATGCCCCGTACACTGCATGATGCTTTGATGTGGAATACTGAAACCCAAAAAACAAACGAACAAAAAAACCCAAAAAACATAGAACCATGACAGAAGCGTAGCTGCTTGCATTGCTCTGCTGCACAACTGCCCTAAAAATCGTTGGGCAGTGGAAGCAGAAGTGCCCTTCATGTCCTAAAATGCAGCTGCTCTGGTGGTGTGGTCCTGGCAGCTTTGTGTGCACAGATGGAGTCCTGGGGCTGTTGAGAGCCGGCTGTGTAGGGGCCTGGAGGTGGCACAAGAGCAGAGGGCACTTTGATTCTTGTGCAGGCAGCCTGACCAGCTTCCATTTGTTTCTTGCAGGCACGGATGAAGATGCCGTCATCGAGATCTTGACCAAACTCAATGTTCGCCAACGTCAGCGCGTGCAGATGTACCAACAAAAAGGAAAGCACACGGCGCTTGACTTGGCGGGTTTGTGGGAAGGTCAGCCTCCCTGTGTTTATATTTCAGCCATCGTCCTCCACACTGGAGAGGCTTTACCCGCTTGGCGTGCTTAATTGCAGCACATTGCACGCGTGTGGATAACTTGTGCTATAGCATCCTTGATCCAGACCCCATTTCCATGTTGCATCTCTTTCTGAATGGCCCGCGGCGTCACGGGGGCACCGAACTGCAAATAACGCCCTCGTGGTGTTACTGTAAAGGTTTGCCAAGTGAAGCTATGGATGCTCCATCCCTGGAGCTGTTCAAGGCCAGGCTGGGCAGCATGACCCAGCGGGTGGCATCCCTGCCCAGGGCATCGGGGTTGAGCTTCTAGGTTCTGTACGGTGCCTTCCAACCCAACCCATTCCGCTGTTCTGCGTTCCTGTGATGCAATCCCTCGCCCTGGTGCAGTGCATCACAGAGCAGCCCGCGGGGAGCCTCCGCCTGGCATCACAGAGCCGTGAGGTCACGATGCCCCGTGCTCTGCGGTGCTGTGCTGAGCTCACAAGGCCTGGCTGTGACGCCGTGCCGCAGGCATCGCTCTGTGCGACTCACTGTGGCTGTAGCGGCGGTGGTGGAAGCATGGTGCGAGTGTGGGGGGCCATGGCCCCTGCCCGCCTTGTCTTCCTCTTCCTCCTGATGGCCGTGTGTTTCTGGGAGACCTGCGCTGCTCCGTGGCGAGCACCGGGAGCAGGTGGGTGGGCAGAGACGGGACCAAACCTGAGCAGCAGTGGGGGCAAGAAGTCAGGCTGCGTCCCCACGGCCCTGTGCCGCTCTTCCCTGGGGCCTGCCTTCCGAGGGGGTGTGGGGGGTGTTGGGCAGGGGGTGATGAGCAGCACCGCAGGAGCCGGGCAGGAGCCCGTGGCAGCGCTGCTCCCCAGGCCTGGCTCCAGCATGCTGGGCCGTGGCTCTGCTCCTTGCTGGCTGGAGCACAGCCTCCATCCTGGGAGGGAGGCGTCCTGGGGAGAGCTCAGAAGATGCGTGCTGGGAGACGTGTGAGCGTTTTCTGCCCCAGCCTTGTGGTACGCCCCATAGATGACTCCCAGTTTCCAACACAGCCCCGGCCCACAGCCCAGAGGAGGAGACAGATGTGCTTTCCTCCGGGGCTTCAGGGCAGCCTTCCTTTGTGTGCATCAGAGCCCTCCCAGTAAGAAAGCCCCGAGGGGCTGCATCTTCTTCCGTGCGGTCCGTGAGGGATGCGGCACGTGGCCTGGAGGGAGCCTTGTGTGCCCTGCCAGGTGCCAGCCTGCAGCTCATCCCGGCCGCTCTGCAGCTTTGGAAATCGGGACCCGAGTCCTTCTGCCAGCCCGTCCCACAGCCCACCCACATCCAGTTACTGTGGGGGAAGGAGATCACGCCGTGCAGTGGGACCTTCTCTCATCTGTTCTTGATTCTAGATGATGAGCTCGGTGCTCTCTATCTGGATGATTGCCTGGATCCACATTTCATGCCTGTGCCCGAGGGACAACCCAGAGGTAAGTTGTGTCTGTTTCCTTGAAGGCAGAAACATTCATGCCCTCATAGTTTACTCAGGTGCGATTTTACGTAGGATCCTCTCAAGGTCTTCCAAGTCTGTGCCTTGAAGGGCTTGCACAGATGAACCTTGAGTGTTTCTTTGCTGGGAGAGCTGTCACATTTGGGTGGGAAGGTCACCGCTGCCCCTCTTCAGCTGAGAGAGCCCAGAGCTTCGTATGTGGGCCGTGCCATTCCCTGACCCACCGCCAGACCTCACAGGTCTGCCAGTGTTACAAAGGAGGCCCCCACGTGCACTGGAAGCTCTCCTCACCTGTGTGACCACACTTGTGCCTGCAGGCCCTGCTGGCGAATCAGCAGAACGGGATCCTGTCCGTGAGCCTGAGGGGAATGCTGGAGGTAAGTCACCAGGCTTCGTTCCCTTGATATTTGTTCATGTGTGGCTGGGATAGTTCAGCAAGGGCTCTGCTTTTCACCGGCCAGTGGGTTCTTCTCCATGGGAAGCATGGGGGGTTGTTGTTTCCTGGGTGCTCTGTGCTCTCGGCGTCGTGTTGGCTTTGCCTCTGTATCTCAGAGGTCTCGCAGTGAGACAATTGGAAGCAGCTGAATGCTGTTCTGTGAGTTCTCTGAGAATTATTTCCCGTGGCCTGGAGGAGGTATTTTGAAAGCTGTGGAATACCAGCCGTCAGGTCACCGGGCCTCTCTGCAGCTTTGGAACTTTTGCCCCATGCCGTTAATTGAGCCCCTTCCATCACCGCAGGTCAGTAAGGAAGAGAGGTGGGCACGTGCCATGGAACGTCTCTCAGCTGTCCTGGATTCCAGCCGTGTCTCCAGGCAGCGGCTGACCAAAGCCCAGCTTCAATCCGGTCCCTGAGACGCGGGGCGATCCCACAGCTGAGTCCCTGAGAGGTTTTAGTTTTCATTCCGGTTTTAATTTTCTTTCCTGCTTCCTCTGTGGAAGAGAAGGGAAGATATGGGTCAGGCTGTGTGCAGAGTGCAGTGCCTGCCTTGCAAAGCCGTCGTTGCTGGCCGCTCCAGCCCTGAGCTGCTCCCGGTGCCTTGTGCAGAGCCAGCGGGCACCACGCAGTCGAGCTGAGGGCTGAGCTCCAGGAGGGCGTTCCTCTGGGCAGCCCCACGCGGTGCAAGTTCTGTAGGATCGTGGTGCCCCTGCACGTACCTGGGAACTGCTCCCGAGGTGCTCCTGTGTGGAAGGGAGAGAGCAGTGTCACGAAGGAATCCCCTGCTTTAATTGCGTCCTGCATCGTTCCTATTGGGAGGATGTTTAATTAGAGCTGCTCTGTGCTGCGTTTGTTTGCAGATGTGAGTGGAGGAGGTGATCCAGCTTCCCCTCTGAGCTCCGAGACCGAAAGCCGGGCGGATGGCATGGGTAAGTCACGGCTCTGTAATTCCTTGGAGAGCTCTCACTGCCCGCTTCGGTGCCACTTCATGGCACTGCTTCCCCCGTACGCTCCGCTGTTCAGCGATGCTGCTGTGCGTGACTGAAACTTTTCCTGGGTTGCAGAAGTGCCCCAGGGAGGGCTTTGCTCAGTCGCTGGTTCATTCCTGCGCTGGAGCCCAGGTGGATGCCCAGGGGTGGTGGTTTGTTTTACTGATGGCGCTGACTCAGCAGTGGTCTTCAAAACCTCGTGCTCGTGGCATTTAACTTCATGCGTTCCGTGCAGGTCTGGAATGGGGAAAGGATGAATCGGAAAGAGGAAAATCCTCTGAGGAGTCTTACCGTCCAAAAGAACTGCTGAGGGGAACGGAAGTGGCAGTTCATGGTGGGTGTACTTCAGTCTGTTCACTGTGAGACTCGGGAAGCTGAGCTCTGATGTCCGTGTGCAGCCTGCACAGCAGCAGGGCATTGCTCAGAGCCGTGCTGCAGCGGTGTTCCACATGTGCCAGAGAATCCTGTGTGATGCTGCTCACCTCTCACCGCTCCCGGTTCCCAGAGGGCTGTGAGCTTTGTCCTTTTGGGAACGAAGCCGCCCGAGGGTGAGGAGGTGAAGGTAAGGTGGGACGTTGTTGTTTCTTCCAGGGAGGAATGCAGGGAAGCAGCAAAGGATGCAGGGAAGCACAAAGGCTGCTGCTGGCAGATCTGTGCGGCAGCGCCACGTGGCAGTGGTGGTGCTGTTCTCAGCTGTGCTGCTGTCTGCGCTGGTGCTGGCCTGCGTTGCTGCGTCACGGCCGTGGAAGAAATGCCTGTGAGTTGTCTTTCTCCCCCAAACACTTCGTTGCTGCATTTGGCAATGAAGCATTTGTGGTGCCAGGATCCTGGGCAGCCGGATCAGCTGCTGGCAGTACACTGCCAGGATTTATGCTGCAAGGTCTTCTAAGTTTGCCCTTATTTCCTGTCAGTGAGTAGTGCTTTCTGAAACTCCTTTTCACAGTGTGTGCAAGGGGGGAGAGAGAGCAGCAGAGCGAGCTCATCCTGACACCGACTGGGAGGGAGTTCCAAGTGGAGATGAAGGGAGAGCGGAGCTGGGAGAGGCAACGAGCGAGATCCTTGCCCAAGCAAACAATCTCAGCAATAGTTCCAGTCCGTTCCGTTCTGCCATCCCAGAGGCCAAAGATCTTCAGAGTCATCTGAAAGACCTGGAGCGTGAACTCCAAGCCATGAAAGAGGTCCATGGGGGCAGTGGTGAGTGCTGCTTTCTGTCAGAGGACGGCCCTGAAAGTGAGAGCGGAGGATCAGCGGCAGAGCGTTTGTCCTTCACCCTCCGTTCCCCGGGACGAGTATCACCAGTAGTTCGAAGGTTCTTAGCTCGCCACAGCTACGATCCTTTTGAGGGTCCCAATGAGGACCCAGAAAGCGAGCTTCCTCTGACCGCCGGGCAGCACGTTTATGTCTTTGGAGATGTGGATGAGGACGGCTGGTTTCTGGGAGAGCTGACGGATGGCACGAGAGGGCTGGTCCCTTCCAGCCTGGTGACAGAGGTTTCAGATGATGAGCTGGACACAACGATGCCTCCAAAGCTCTGTGATCTCTTGCTGGATGCAGATGATTGTGTCGATGCAAAGAGTCCATAATGCAGCAACATCCTGTCGCAATTCTTGCCTCACTCCATCTGCAAGACGACCCCCTGCTCCACTTGACGTTCGAGTGAAGTGTGAGCAGGATGTGGATGAGCTCCTCCTGGTTCGATCTGAGATGACTGGCAGTGCGACTGCATGCTGTTATTGTATATTAAAAAATATTTAAAAAACTAACTAACAACACTGTTGTTTTTCGTGGATACATTGAGGTGATACTTTTTCTAGCTGAGATTTTGCAGTGAGTCTGGAAGCAGGTTTGAACTGGTAGAAGTTGGCCGTGTTTGCATTCTGTTTCTCATATTTCCTTGCTGATCAGAGTCAAGGTGCCATGCATCCCTTCCCCGCCTCTGGCTGCCCCCCTTCACCGTGAAGAGGACCAAGGGCTTCTGGCACAGAAGTATGTCCGTGTGCAAGGCTTAAACTTCATGCGTCTTCCTTCTCTGCTTGGTAAAACTGCGCGTTGGGCTCCTTTGGAGTCTGAGTGCTGGTTTCTGGGCAGTCCTTAGCTGGAGGCTGGAGTGCCTCTATCAGCTGTGGCGGTGCAACTCCCACGCCCCACGTCCTCCCCCTTCTGCCAGGCCTCTCAGTGCTTGGTGCACTTGGACAAAAGGTGCAGGACCAGTACATGAAGGTGCTGCTCTGTGCCTCTCCCCTGCTGGCCTCCGTGTAGCAAATGGCAGTGAATAGGAGCGTTAGGGGATGCCCGGATTGTCCCTGCCTTCTGCCTCGTGTCCCATTGCCCGGGGCCAATCCTGGGGTCAGTCATCTCCTGGCAGCCCGATACATCTGGACACAAATCCCAGCCCGTGTGGAGTGGTTTGGAATTTGTGAGCTCAGCAAGTTCTCAGCTTTGTGCAACTGGTGGAAAGAACCAGGTTTTGCCCTCCAAGGAGGCCGGAAAAGTATCCGGCAGATCTCCATCATCTCAGACCCTGCAATTAGAGGTTCTTAGTGAGTGTTAATACTTATCAATACCTGAGGGCAGGTGGGAGGAACATGCATGAAGCCAGGCACTTCAGTGGTGTGCAGCGGTGGGACAGCGAGCAGCGGCCTAGAACTTGAACTCGGAAGTTCTTGCTCTTCTTCCATCCACCTCCTTCCTCACTTATCTGTTTTAATGATACGTGTTCGTTTCACAGCAGTAGGTGCTGAGAGTTTCCCTGTCCACATTTGCTTTGCGTGTTTGCGTGTACGTTCACCTATGAGAGTATCTGCTCTCCCATGGTTTGATATGGGATGTCCCATCAGCAAGTGAGTGTGAATCTCGTCATCTGCAAATCTATCATCAGGTCCCTGTTTCATTTTTCACCTATTTCTTAAACTGCTGCTAAACAGAACCGAGCAAAATGGATTTGCCATTTCCTGCAATGCCAAATTAGCAGAGATGGCAGGATGATGAGCAAAGTCGCTGAATGCTTGCAAAAACGTGATGCCCACACAAAGCCTGTGTTCCCTGAGGTTTTAGCTTATGGCTACTGGCATAAGCAGGAAGAGGTAGGAAAGCAGTTGGCCGATGCTGGAGGTTCAACGGGATGGGAAAGGTAGAGGTATAATCTGCCAAATGTTGGCTGGAAGTTTGTCTGAAACCTGCCTGCCAGGAGAGGGGAAAACTAAAGCATGAAATACAGGATTGACAAGAAGAGATCAGTGGGTGTAATGCACTGAGCTGCTGTTATCGTTGAGGATGGAGCAGCTGCAAAATCTGCTTAAAGAGTTTCATGGCACCGAGTTGGCTGGAAGTGTGGATCTGCCTGGGGGCAGCGAGGCCCTGCAGAGGGATCTGGACAGGCTGGATGGCTGGGCTGAACCAATGGGCTGAGGCTCAACAGGACCAAATGCTGGGTCCTGAACTTTGGCCACAACAACCATTCCAACAGCAAGTCCATCCCAGCTCCATTCCTGGTTCAAGCATCCCTCATTGCCACGCAGCACCGCAGCTGCCAAGCTCCAGTCCCTTTCCCTGTGTCAGTGGGGTCAGTTTGTTCTCTTCTCGTCCGCTTAGAGGAACAGAAGCTTCCTGCCCCCCAAGGCTTGTGACAGGTATTTCCCTACAGAAGCATTCATGTCCTTCTTCCGGCCCCTTTTGCCATTTCCAGCTCTCCAAACTGAGACGTACGGCTGCAGCCCACCCCAGGGCTTCTTTGGGGCAGCTCTGCGGCACCCCATCCCAAGGAGCAGATGCCTTTTCCCCACACACCGCTGGTTCTATGGCCACATGAGGTGAGGACACAGGGTCGTGGGTCATGTGGAGGTGAGGTGGGGGCGGGGATCCCAGAGTTCTTGGACAACGTGGCGTTTGGTCGCAGCCTGATGGGGGCAGGCGGGGTCAGGGAGTCACAGGGTCGTGTGGGGGTATGGCTCACACAGGGCTGTGGGTCACGTGCAGCCATGGGGTCACGCACATCCAGGGTTCTGTGGTCATCTTGGGCTACGGCTCATGGAGAGTTATGGCTCAGCACCCAGCCTTTGGGCCACAGGGACCCCCAGTTCCCTCTCAGGAAGAAATGAAACCACTCCTCCACCACCCCACGCCTCCCCTTTTTACCTCAAACCGCTCCCCACATGCCCCTCTTCCCCCCCGTCTCTCCATACCACCCCACACCCCAGTGTCCCACCTGCAGCCCACAGCTTGACTTGTCCAGAGAGCCCTGTGAGCTGGGGGGCTCCTGGCGTCCCCATCCCAGCAGCGGGTGCTGCGTTCAGGACGGCTGGGTGGCCTTGGGAAAGAGGAGCTGGGTGGCGATGATGAGGTGGCAGGGTGGCTTTTGGGGACCGTATCCTTGCACTGGGGGAGGGCAGGGCCTAAGATCCGCACATCCTCCCGACAGAGCCAGGGATGAGGGCACGTCACACCCAGCGCCTTAGTGAGGGAGAGGCCAGCAGTTCCTCATGGGAAGAGGCCGTGCTGAGCTGGCGTGAAGCTCTGACACAAGTCAGAGACTGTGGCTGATGGTCAGCAGGGGATTTCCATCTCCAGTATGTTGCCCGTGCCACCGGGAGGAACCGGCAGCTGCTTTACCTTCCTTGCCCTGGTCCAGAGGTGGCAAAGTGCCTTCTTGCTTTGGCGTCTCCTGACCAGAGAGGCTTCCTGAGGACTTGCGGTGTATTGCGGGAGGTGGTTTGGCTACAAACTCCATTTGAAACCTGCGCGACAGGAGAAGACAGCGAGCGGTGTGACGCAGCGCTCCAGCAATCCTTGCTGCTCTCTCTGACTGTCTGCTCACAGGCACATTTTCATGCTGCATTAAGCACACTACTTTCTAAAGCCTTTTGCAGGGTCAGTCGGGATAGGTGAAGGGGAAACAGTTTCAAACGGCAGGAGGGAAGCTTTAGATTGAGATTTAGATTTAGAAGGTTATGGAGCAAATCATCTTGGATGAGAGGTGCCCTTTCGGGGTTCCTTCCAGCTCAAATCATTCTGTGACTCCATGACACACGCTCACGGGCAGGACAGTCACGGACACGGAACAAGCGCTCCCAGCTCAGAGACCTGCAGCTGCCTTGCTGTATTTCATGGGCTCCACCTTCCTAAGGACAGAAAAATGCGAGGGACAGAGTTGATGATAGGGTTGGTTTTCCACAGGTGCTTCCCTAGAAGTGCTTCTGGTGGACATCAGCCAGAACGGCCCCATGTTTGGACGGGCTCCTCAGAGGGGAGGTTTGCTTTTGAGGATGGAGGCGGTGGCCGTTTGCCCTGTCCACCAAGCCAGCAAAAGTTGAATCCCCCCTCCTACCTGGCAGGGACTCCTTGTGGGGCTTGAGGTGGTGCGTGGCTGTGAGGTTTGAAGCCAGGTTAAACACGGGCCACCGCAGGGTCACGGTCCCATCCTCAGTCCGGACCTCTTTGGGGACGGTGTCAAAGGTGCCGAAGGTGGGAATCCAGACCCCCTGCAAGTGGAAGAGAAAGGAAGGGCGGAAGGGTTATGGGATGGCCGGAGGAAGAGCCGGAGGGGGCCCGACGTAGGGGCAGAGCTCAGGAGCCCTCGGCTGCCGTTCAGAGGCACGAGCCAGGGCATCGGGCATGGCTTTGGGAAGGGGCTGCACGGTCCTCTCCTTCCCCTCGCCCTCCCAGATGCAGCACAGCAGGCAGCAGGGCAGAAGAAGCCTCACCAGAGAGCGGGATCAGCCCTGAGATCCGACAGGGCCCAGCACGAGTGATCGTGCATTTGCAGGAAGCCCGTGGGATGCCCAGGAAAGAAACGTGGGGGGAGTCTCCTTCTTTCTGCGGAGGGGAAGAGTCTGAGGAAGTCCAGGCTGAGCCGCACAGGGAGAGGAGGAACCCGACGGCCAACACACCTTCTGCACCAGCAGCTGCTCCTGGTAGGCAGCCACCGCTTCCCAGATGGCAACTCGCTCTGGAGGGCAAAGGAAAAGCAGGTCACACTCTGCATCTGCCACTTCCCGGCACCGCCACTGCTGCCAGGCAGGAACGAGGCGGCAGATGGAAAGGGTCGCCTCCGTGCCAGGGGTGGCTGCAGCACCGCTCCTGTGCCGGCCGTGGCCCCGCGTACTTTGGTGTCGCTGCATGTCGGACTGCAGGCCTGGCAGGGCCTGACCAGTGTGGCCCTGCTAAGCCAGACGTCTCTCGGCCGGCTGGGGGGCGCTGCTAGGGCAAAAGCTGGCCAAACACCCAACAGGAGGTGTGCTGTCACTGCTGTCCTGGTGGATGGCAACCCTTTCCATGGCTGGGGGATGAGAAATGGGTGATTTTCAAAGTCTCCTCCACCCTAAGCCATGCTATGACTCTGTAATGTTATCACCTACGGTCATGAGCAGTGGTTTCCAGATTTGGCATCTGCTTCTCTCGTGATCAAACATCTTTTACTAAAAACAGCCACGCTTGTGGAATCCAGCACACAGGTAGTGATAGACTGAGCTGGCTCTGTAGTACGTTCTGCAGTGATGACTCTGCTACCCCTCAGGTGATGTCACCCCTGGAGACCAATGGATATCTCCATGGAGAGGAGGAAATCACATCCTCTGCTGCTGAGCTGGGCCGGGCTCCTGGGACACACAGAGCTCCTACAAGTGGGCAGCACTGCAGAGATACAGCTGTGCCCAGGAGCAGCTCCTGTGCAGAATGCAGCAGAGCTAGCGAAATGATCTACAGGAGACAGGACAGAAGGAAGAGAGCTTACAGGCTGTGTGGCACGTTGGCAGGCTGTGAGCTCACTGAAGGAGCATTTCTCACAGCCCTTGACCAGGTAAGTCTCTCACTGAAGGCAGTGTAGTGAGTTTTACTGCAGGGATCACTAAATCTGGGACATCCCAGTGCAGGTCAGGCTTAAACTCTGTTTCATTATCCTGGAAAAAGATCTGCTCCAGCTGAGGGCTTTCCTGCTGCAGCCCTGAGGGCTGCGTGTCCCAGGACGGCTGCAGGCTGTGCAGTCAGGGCTGCAGCCGGGTGCCCAGGGCTGTCCTGCAGAGCAGGTCCCTGCTGTGCCCCAGGGGCTGTGAGCTGGGCCAGAAGGGGTCCACAGGGCAGAGCTGAGCACGCAGTGACTGTGATGTGCTCTGTGAGCCCCAGGGAGGGGATGAGGGGACAGAGAAGCAGCTGCAGGCAGGGACAGCTGTGGTCAGCAAAGACATGGGCAGGGAGGGAGAGGAGAGTGCTGACTGCAAAGGCTGGGAGGGGGAAATGGGCACCTCACTGCCATCCCTGCAGTGCAGATACCTTCCCTGCAGCAACCCCTTGGTCTGTTTTCACTGTCAGCCAGTGCATCCGTTCCTAGTGCCAGGAGAACTTGATTAAGGGTTGCATTAAGGGCTCAACAGAGTGTGGGATGGGGCTCAGGCACCCTCTGATAAACACTGTCTTTACGGGTAGGAATAACCTGACTCTCTTTCTAGGACACCCCCTGCTTTGGGCTTGTGACTCTGCTCCCCTGGTTCCTCCTGGGCTGAAGTCAGCCCTGCAAAATATTGCAGCTCTGCCATGGCAGCTCTGTGTTACCCAGCAGTACCACGGAGAAGACGCTTCAGTGTTGAGGCCATGGAAGTGCTGCTGGATGTCAGTGTCCCTGGAGAGCGAGGGAGAGCTGAGATCTTCCTCTGGTACGGTAAGGAAGACGAGAGACTTGGAGTTCTGCACAGCTAACCTCTGCTCTTACTGACAACCAGAGTCTTGTCAGGTTAACTCCTAGAGCGTGGCCATCCTCCAGCGGTGCACACGCAGAGCAGATCATGGGGACCAGTTGCTTGCAAGTGAGGGGCATGCCCTTCGCCTCTCTGACATCAAAAGTGACGCTGACTCTTGAAGTGTCTCACAATGATCAAGGATTTCCTCCTGAAAAAACGCTTTTCATGGATGCTGAGGCAACTAGAAGAAAATATATTGGCAAAGTGCTGCTGTCCAGTTTTGAGAAACGTGTGGAAAGCTGCATGATTGCTCAGGTTTTTAATCTGAGATCACTTTGTTCTTCAATTGTTTTATTGCTGTAGAACAGAGCTGACTCATCCACAGCCTGCAGCAGAGCTCCTTGTACTCTGTGGCACCATCAGCCAGCAGCATCCAGAGCTCAGAGATCTTGCAGAAAGGATGGAGACAGTCCAGGAGGTTTCACGAGACACGGAAAAGGCTTTGTGTGGAGAGGTCTGAAGTAAATTTTCCCGTTCTTCCTTCCTCACACAGGTCTCCATGCCCAGCAGATGCCAACAGCAGCTCCAGCAGTGAGTTCCTGCTCCTGGCGCTGGCAGCTGCAGCTCCTGCACTTCTGGCTCTTGCTGGGCATCTGCCTGGCCGCCCTCCTGGGCAGCGGCCTCATCAGCACAGCCGCAGCCCTGGACCACCGCCTGCACACCCCATGCGCTTCTTCCTCCTCAGCCTCACCTTCCTCGCCCTGGGCTGCATCTCCACCACTCTGCCCAAAGCCGTGGCCAATGCCCTCTGGGACACCAGGGCCATCTCCTGCTCAGGATGTGCTGCACAGACCTTTTCCTTTCTTCACCTCAGCAGAGTACTGCATTCTCACCATCGTGTCCTATGACCGCTATGTTGCCATCTGCAAGCCCCTGCACTACGGGACCCTGATGGACAGCAGAGCTTGTGCCACCATGGCAGCAGCCGCCTGGGGCACTGGGCTTCTCTATTGCCTGCTGCACACTGCCAGTACATTTATGCTGCCTCTCTGCAAAGGCAATGCCATCAACCAGTTTTTCTGTGAAATCCCCCAGATCCTCAAGCTCTCCTGCTCACAGTCCTACCTCAGGGAAGCTGGGCGTTTGTATTTTGCGTCCCCTTGGCGCTTGGTTGCTTTGTATTCCTTGTGCTGTCCTACGTGCAGATCTTCAGGGCCGTGCTGAGGATGCCCTCTGAGCAGGGATGGCACGAAGCCTTCTCCACGTGCCTCCCTCACCTGGCTGTGGTCTCCCTGTTTCTCAGCACTGGCAAGGTTGCCTGTTTGAAGCCACCCTCCGTCTCCTCCCCATCCCTGGACCTGGTGGTGTCGTTTCTGTACTCGGTGGTGCCTCCTGTAATGAACCCCCTCATCCACAGCATGAGGAGCCAGGAGCTCAAAGATGCTCTGTGGAAACTGCTGAACAAATGCGTTTCAAAAGCAGTGAACTGCCCAGCTTTTCCTAAGAATCGTTTTTAACAGAATCAGGCTGTCTTTTTTTGATTTCTGTATTCATTTATTCAAAGTTTTCAAAATTCATCCATTATTCAAAGTTTTGTTGTGCGTTTTATGCATTCTAATGTTTCTTACTGAAACATCATTATCCACATCAATTACTGCTCAGTTTGTACCTCTCCAGTGCAGCCCAGACACGCTGTACATGAGGAACCGGGCTCTCTGAATTTTAACGAAGCAAAGAGCATGCAACGACTTTGTCTGTCTTCCTTCCTTCCTTATGAGACATTTCTGGAGCTGCCGGGATCAGCTGCTCTCAGAAACCCAAAATCCAGCAGGAAGCAATGGCTGACGGGCCATCCCTCGGCTCCTGGCTGGGGTTTGTGCTTTCAGGCTCTCATCTGTCAGCGCCTCTGACAGGCCAGCAGCAGCACCAGGTTTGCACGTTGGTTGTGAGATCCCCTCTTCCTCAGACCCTGTGAGACTTTGCATAGGAAAAGATCTTGCTTCTTGCTTCTCACCTCAGAGGCTTAGTTTTGTTTTGTTTTCTAGAAGCCTCCATTCAGTGCTTCTTTCCATTTGCCACACAGAGGTGGGCACTGCCTCCAGGATGCCCCAGGGTAGCTGAAGCACGCATGAGAGCCTGGGAAAGGCTCCCCAGGACTCTTGCAGACATTCTGGAGCGTGAATTTGCAGATAGGAAGTGCCGATGCGGGGTGGCACAGAGCTGCTGGCAGGTGGTGCAGGTCCTCCTGCAGAGCTCTGTGTCCTTCTCCTGCCTGCCTGAGGTGCCACTTCCATCTCAGGAACGGAACAGCCAACAGAGGGGAGACAGGAACTTCTCGAGAAAAGGCTCAGCGTTGCACTAAGAGACAGAATTCAGTGGTGTGGTGATGGTGTGTTGAGCTGAAACTCAACCCCATTGCCCCTTAGCATTGCTGCTCCCGTGCCTTGGTGGCAGTGCTGCTGTGTGGCTGCACTTTTCTCTGGGTTTACTCACACTTTGCTCCAGGTTTTACTGACACTCTGCTCCGGGTGTGGGAATCACGTGTTGTTTCTGCATTAGAATTGGATAATATTATTTTTATTTCATGGTCTCCGCTACCATAGTTCTTTTTGGGAGTGCTTCTACTTCACCTGGGGAAGATCTCTGATAGTTTACATCACTGATCCTCCAGACGAACCTTCCCAGGCACGCACACTCTGTATAGAGGTGTATCTGTGTGTATTTTGTCACGCACACTGCAAGAACATCCTGCACGAGAGCAAACCAGAGAACAGCCGTGGCGAAGCACCTGAAGAGACATCGGCAGGCCTGGCATCATCCCCTGTGCTCTGTGTTTAACGATGACTTTAAAGGAAATCACCAGATCAATGCAAGGAGAGCACCGACACAGCTTGGAAACAACAGGACGGCTGCTGACGGACAGCAGGTAACAAATGAATTAACAAGTAAATAGCAAATATCAACCTTCTGTACGATTGTGAACCTGGAGTACGCAGCCAGTGGGGAAACAGGGGAGGGGGGAGGCAAGGGGGAGCAAACAGGGTCTGAAGGCCGCCATGCTGTGTCCATAGGGAGGGGGGAGGCAAGGGGGAGCAAACAGGGTCTGAAGGCCGCCATGTTGTGTCCATAGGGAGGGGGGAGGCAAAGGGGAGCAAACAGGGTCTAAACGCCACCATGCTGTGTCCATAGGGAGGGGGGAGGCAAGGGG